TTAACATATGGCCCTTCACATTAACTATAAAAAGGGGGATGATAACCCGTCAGATCTGTCCTTCAAGGATGCTAGAAACTTATGCTTTATTTAAGATATTTGAGAATAGAAACAAGGCCACTTCTTATACCTGATTCAAATTTCTCCTTCAAAATGTCCCACTGAGGCAGTACATGTCAGCCATGAACAACCAAATGGATGGAGAACATAATACTATATTTGAATTCATGTGTGTGCCCATCTTGAGGTTTGAACTCTGGGCCTGCTTGCTATCTCTGAGCTTATTTGCTCAAGGCTAGTGCTCTATCACTTGAGCCACGTCTCTATTTCTGGCTTTTTGGGGGTGCTTAATTGCAGATGAGCATCTCAAGGCCTTTGAAACTCGATTCTCAGATCTTAGTCTCCCAAGCAGCTGGGATTACAGGTATGAGCCACTGGCACCTGGCTGAAACTCACAGTTATTAACCAGATATCCTCTAGAAGAAGATGCGGTTAAGACTCACAGTGCCACAAGGCAGAGGTCCTAACCTCAAGCCCCAACCTCAATCAGAATAAACATAGAGGCCATCTTCTCCCAAAGCTAACAGTAAAGATCACTACTTCTAGAATTAATTGATGGATATTTTGGCTTGGCTCAAACCTAACTTGTTTAATAAAGAAATGTCCCATCTCAGAATATGAAGATGTGTGACCAAGCTCATTGTGAATGAGTTTTAAACAATCTTGATAGTAATGTTCCAAGGAATTCCATAATACATTGTTTATCTCACATCAACCTGAATAGCTTTCAGAAAGTGAAAAAAAGTACTGAGAAGTCAGAAGCCGGAGGTGGAGTCAAAAGTGGAAATTCTAAAAAATATGTTCATTCTTTTTTCTTCAGGTCATTGACCTGGTGCAAGACCCTTTGATGTCGTCTGCCCCATTCTTTCATGCTCCTTCTGGTACTACTTAAGTGATCTCAGGCAAGACCAGCTTTACAGCTTCCTTATAAGACTCTCTCAAGCCGAACTATTCCAAACTCCCTTTTCAAATATTCCAGTCAAATCTGAAATATGATTTATTCCATTAAAACATATTAGCATAAATTAATTGTACAAAGGAGAAGAAATATCTTGGGGTAGCACTGGGGTTGAAACTCAAGGTCTTGGCTTGTTAGGCAGGTGCTCTACCACTTGAGCCACAACTCCAGCCAATATTATTTCTTAATCTAACTCTCAGATCATCCAAACTTTTGACATCACAAAGAGAGGAGGGAGGGATTCACACGAGTAAACACATGGATGTAGTATTTAAGCCCAGGATAAACAGAGAAACAATCTTAAAGACCACTGTTCATTAAGGCTACCTTGTTTCTTTACAATAGCATAGAAAAGAAAAATGACTATCTGTGTATGCAAATATTTCTAAAGAAGGCCAAGCTATAACCTGCAGGCATTTTCTATGCTACTTTGCACAAATGAACACAGGGTTCTCAGGCAGGAGATCACAATCAAATCTTCACTGATGTTCTGCCCTAGAGAACAGGCATCATGAACGTCTGAACTCTCCGCCAATCATTTGACAGCCCTCCACTACTTTTGTCTGCTTTTGTTTGAGCTAGATCTAAGAACTATATTTCTTCCAAGCCCAGTTCCAATTTTCTTGTTTTGGTTTTAGGGTTTCTTATTAAGTTGGCTGTTACCTAAGCCACAAAATTCGAAAACCAGCTTCCAACAGCATGTGGCCAATTACTATCTTTATTAACTATTTTAACACTCAGAGAAAGGCATATTTAATACAGTAGATTTTTTCCCATTTATCAAGCTAGCAATTTTTGTAAACAGTGTAAACCAGAGTTGACAAGCAAAAGAGCAGTGAAAAATTATGTGTACACTGTTCAGATCCACACGAGTGTTTTACTATTTTATTGGTAATTCTATATCTAGGAATTGACCTTAACAAATAATCAGTGATATACATTGTATGCAAATGAATGCTTACCGAGTCCTGTATAATAGGGAAGCACTGGCAACCACACATCAATAACAGGAATTAGATCCACAAGTTATGGGATGTTCAAGTGTTTGAGCTACTAGCAGTCAATCAGCTTTAAGAAGATTAAGGACAGCAATATTCTTATTACAAAACATTAATGTGTGTGTGTGTGTGTTTTAGAGTGGAGAAATGCATAAAGCTAAGTAAAATGAAGTTTTACCATCGTCAAGTGCACTGACACAGTAATACGATGAACTATCATAGTCTTTTTTAGGCTAACGTTTTAGAATCATGCTCACCTTTGGTCCTCAGCAACACCCAGACCTGAGCCCCTCCCATCCCTGAAGTTCCCACCATACAGCTGGCCCCTCCCTCTCTGCCCAGATCCACCTGGGCTCCCATCCACCTACGTTCCACCCTCAGACCCTCCTGCTACCTGGATGGTGACTGAGGCCATGTGCTCCCTCTTGAGGGAAATATGGCTCCTCTATAAACTTTATAATAATCTTTTTCCTGTGCCTGCCTACCTCTGCGTGGATCCCTGGGATGGATATGTGGGACCCTTCAACCTTCAAAAATAACAAGAACAATAGTGTTGCTACAACAATATGTGGAAATGGTGAGATGTTCCTCTGTCAGTTTTAGGTGGCTTTTAGTAGCCAATTATATGTTTTTGGAGGATCCAGCCACCAAAGTTAACCAAGCCTCTGCTTTGAGCCCTAATGACTGTGTTAGAGTATACTATTGTTCAACTGAGGCACAATCTTGTAGATAGCAGCTGTTAGAAGTTAGCATCACATTGAGCTCATTAAAAAAAAGGTCAAGCTATTTTTCTGGTCTCAAATTTTATGTTGCATATCAAAGTATGCGTGATAAGAAATGCTATTTCGAAAATTAGTAGATACTACTCATTCAATTACTTTCACATCTGAGGACACACTTAAACATAGTCTGAAAACAATCCTTAGCAGAAAGAACAGTGCTGGAGGAATATCAATACCAAATTTCAAACTCAACTACAAAGCCATATTAATCAAACAGCTTGGTACTGGGACAAGAAAAGACCTGAGGACCAATGGAATAGAACTGAAGCCCAGAAATGAATCCACATAACTATAGCTACCTAATCTTCTATAAGGGAGCTAAAAAAAAATAGAATGGAAGAAAGACAGCCCCTTCAGTAAATGGTGCTGGCAAAATTGATTAATCACCTGTAGAAAACTAAAGCTAGATCCTTATATATCATCCTGCACCAGAATCAACTCCAAATGGATCAAATGCCTCAAAGTCAAAGCAGATACCCTGAAAACATTACAAGAAGGAATAGGAGAAACTCTAGGGTTCCTTGGCACAGGCCGAAATTTTCTTTTTTTTTTTTTTTTGGTAGGTCGTGGGGCTTGAACTCTGGGCCTGGGCGCTGTCCCTCAGCTCTTCAGCTCAAGATGAGTGCTCTACCGCTTGAGCCACAGCACCACTTCCGCGAAATTTTCTTAATAGAGACCCAGAAACACAACAAATCAAAGACAGGTTGCACAAATGGGATTGCATGAAACTGCAGAGCTTCTGCATGGCAAAGGACATAGCTAGCAAGATCAATAGAAAGCCCATGGATTGGGAGAAGATCTTCACTAGCCATACCACAGACCAGGGTCTCATATCTAAAATATACTTGGAACTCAAAAAATTAAATCCCCCAACACCAAATCCTCAAACAAACAACTGCCCAATAAATAAGTGGGCTAAACACTTAAAGGGAAACTTCTCTGAAGAGGAAAGAAGAATGGCCAATACACACATGCAGAAATCCTCAACTTCTCTAGCCATAAAAGAAATGCAAATCAAAACAACATTGAGATACCACCTCACCACAGTTAGAATCAAGAACTCTAGTAACAACAGATGCTGGAGGGGATGTGGACAGAAGGGAATCTTACTCCATTATTGGTGGGAGTGTAAACTTGTTCAACCACTTTGGAAAGAAGTATGGAGGTTCCTCAAAAGACTCCACATAGAGCTCCCCTATGACCCAGCAATCCCACTTTGGGCATTTACCCAAACGATTACAAACAAGGCTATACTAAAGCTACCAGCACAACTATGTTTATTGCAGCATTATTTACCATAGCTAAGATATGGAACCAACCCAGATGCCCTTTAGTAGATGAATGGATCAAGAAAATGTGATACATATATATATAATGGAATTTTATTTTATATTTTATTATATATTATATATAATGGAATTTTATGCCTCCATCAGAAAGAATGACATTGCCCCATTTGTTAGGAAATGGAAAGACTTGGAAAAATTATATTAAGTGAAGTAAGACAGGCACAAAGAAACATAGGTTCCACCATTTCTTTTATTTGCAATAACTAGTAAATGTCTAGGAAAAGCAGAAAAGCTATAAAGCTATGTACATATGACCATATAAGATGATGTTAAGCAAAATGAACATCAAGATAGGGACACAAGTGTCTTTTTTTTCTTTCTTGCTATTTTTTAACATATTTATAATGTACTATGTGATTTTTTTTGTTTCTTTTGTATGTTGTTCCCCCACAGTATAGCCCCTGTTTTCACTGTATTTGATTCCGGTGCCCTACATCTTGTATATACATTTTTCTAATTTGAGGAAGGGAAATAACAAGATGCTTAAAAAGGGATACAGGTTGACCCATTGTAACAATGAGATGTACAAGACACTATGTTGAAAGCGAACTTTACAACTTTGCTGGGGAGAGGGAGGAGTTGGGGAGGTCGGGAGGGAAGGGATGGTGGGGGATAAAACAAAGGAGGAGGTAACAATGCTCCATAGGAAATGGACTCATGACCTTGCTCATGCAACTGTAACCCCTCGGTACAGTATTTTTACAATTAAAAAAACATATATTTAAAAAAGCCTGGATTGTCATTAAACCCAGTTGCTGTAAAACAGAAAATTCATAGTATTATAGTTAACTATATTGCACATTGTAAAATATACAACCTCAAAGTAATAAACAAAAACATTTGGAATACTCACGTAAAAGAATCCAAGTGGCCCAGATATGTATGGCATTTTTATTCCCAAGAGATACTTGACTTGTGAAGTTACAACATGGGTGGCAGCCCCCGTGGTCATGGCGCTAATCACAGGCTCTGTAACCAGAAATGTGGCACTTCCTAGTTGTAGGACAAACATGGCCACCTACAATGACAAATGAAGAGTCACATAACACATTCAAGTCTCAAGGCTCCTAGAGGGCCAATGTGTGACACATTTTATTTTACAGAGATACAGAGAGTTGATATTAACAGTTTCCTTTTTTATAACTTTATATATTAGATATTTGGGGGTTTCTTGAGAATACTAGTAAGTACCAAGACTCTCTAAATTTTGTTAGGAGAAGTGTTTGTTTATGCTTTAAGTAAAAACAAACACTATATTTTTTGGAATACTAGCTTGTTTTCCTTTTATAATCCTATATAAGAAAGGAGTAAAGCATTTCAATAAGTTAGGGAAATATAATTTGTATTATCATATTGGAAATTTTTCAAATCAAAATAATGATTCCCCACATGATAACCAGTAGAGTAAAACTTCAAAAGCATTTAGCAGAGAAAGTGATTTTTTTTTCAATTTTCCTAGGCCCTGAAAAAAAAAAAAATGAGGACATCCTGGTTGACCAGATACCTGTCAAACACCTCAAAAGATTCATGTATATAGGGAAGACAGAAAGCAAAGAAAGCGGAAAAGATATGTCTTTAGTAACCCAGAAATCAGTATAAAAATTACTGTACTTAAATTTTTTCTTAGTGCTCTTAGCATCATTGGTACTGGGAAAAAATGATGACAAGAAAAATCAAAATTCTTTGTACCAAGGAACCAGTGTTCTTCCTTAATCAGAGAGAGAGAGAGAGAGAGTTCCCTAAGTCCTTTGTCTTCAAACTGTCTGCAGTCATATTAACTGCAAGTTATAAAATTTTACAGTTTTGAAAGTAACACTAAATTACATTTGAGAGTATACACTTTGGAAAGAGAAAACAACGTTTGTGTGTTAATTATAATACTTAGGTCAGGTCTTAAAATTCTTGTTGGAAAATGAGATTAACTATTAAAGAAATGGAAGCCAAGAGTAGCAATAAGATTCTCTTCACCAAGAAAGATGTAAAATTCTGATACAACCAGGGTACAAATTACAAAGTGCATAATTTCTGTTGAAATCATATTGCAATAATACCTTAACAACATTTATGTTTTGACAAATGTTAAACTGGAATTGCTTGGGCTGAATGTGGAGGCAGAGGTTCTGATCCTGATCTGACCATGTACTTGCTTTGTAACTTTAAAAAGCCTACTGGAATTCTGATCATCTTTGAAGTGCTATCTGCCCTATTTATTGTCTGAGCTACAAAATGACAGGTGAGTGTAATGTAATGTGTGAAAGGATTGGAAAACTAAAATGAACAACAGCAGTGGTACAGCAAGAATATCATGAGATGTCTGTCATACACGGTACAGAAAAATCAGCCATTGGTTTTGAAAAGGTACACCAAGCCATACAAAATTGCAAAGAATATATCAGTACAGAAATACCTCTGAATTGCTTGCAGCTTAGCAGTCACCTTTTATTCAGTATAGTATTAAAGAAAAGAATATTAGGCAAAGTGTTACTGCCAATATAAAAAACTAAGGCTACAGCTTCTGCTACTAACATTATTTCACAAACTATTTGTCAACGTAGCAACAAATTCAGGAGGACATACTCAAGCAATCAATCTTATGGGTACAAATGGAATACAGTGATATTTTGGCACCTCTTGAGTCATAATTTTTGGTATCCATTCTGAAAACGCAATTGGTTAAGGAAAACTTCCAACCAATTATTCCCAAGTATTTCTCAACTAGTAAGATCACTCCAACTTTATAGCATTCTTAGAGGCCAGGAGGATAGTGTGTGTGTGTGTGTGTGTGTGGTGTGTGTGTGTGTGTATGTATGGGTACAATGAACACTAAACAGGCTTTCATGTTGGCTACCTGCAGCATGCAAGTTGTTGATGCCTTTGACACAGTGGAAACTCTTTGTAAAAATGAAATTTTATTTACATATAGCATGTCAAAAAATTCTTTGGGGTACATCAAGTAGTCTTTTCATCACTGTTTTGGCACAAAATTTCAAGAGGCCTTTGTACATCACTTCTATTTCACTTTCCTGTTCTCCTTCATTTCCTAAATGATGGTGTCTATTCCGATGGGTTAAGGATTCGCCATAAATGAGAAACCCAAAGTGATCCACTACAATTACTAGCTAAACCAGTTATCTTCTAGCAGTCACTTCTCTGACATTTCCACACCTGAAAGTTATAAATAGAAGCATCTGAACAGTAGAAGATGTAGAAAGTTCAATTATTTCAAGTGCTGAAACTATGGGAAACTACATTGCAACAGAAATAAACAACAGTAGAGTATCAGCTCTTAGAAAAAAAAAACCTCAAAAATTGTAATGTTCTGCTTGTCCTCAATTGTGCTCATTTAGAAATCCTCCCCAGCAAAGGATAAAATCTAAACTTGAGAGTGCTCAGTGAGAAGGTCAACAAGTCCCAGACGACCTCATTTCTACACAGACCATTAAGCATGGGAAAGACAATATCAAACATGTGAGATTTAAACAGAGAGAAAATCTCCCCCGCCCTCTCTCTCTTGCTTGCAGCCTTCCCAATAACTCAAAACAATGGCAGATATTTAAGAAGGAAGAGAAAGAGTGAGAGGATTTGGGTAGGCAAAGAAGTAAGGGGAGATAGGGGAGACTAACAACTCCTCCTTTCCCTACAGATTTTAATCGTTTATATTGCCATCAAAATCAGGGAAATGTTCCATGATGCTGATGCACAGAGCTTGAAGGTAGCAAGTACCAAGTGACTCTCACATTCCAAAAGTGGACCACAAATTGAACTATGTTTATCTTCAAACTTAAGTATGTGAAATAAGGGTCCTCTAGAACATGTAAAATTTAAGTTTTATGTTAACATTAATGGTATTTAAGTGAATGGTTTGATAAACATATTAGCTCCTTTTACTAATAGTATGAATGATAATCATTGTACTCTGGTTAGTCAACTCCTCAAACCTGACCATACAACATTTTTTGAGAAAAAATAAATGTATAGGATATACTTTAGCTGTGTGCAGCAATGTTGATGATATGAACTAATCTTGAAAGGTTTATAACATATATCGAGGTTCATGTGGATAGAACTATTTGGTAATGCTTGTATAAATACCATGTGTTCTATATAAATATAATGTATCTCAGATTTCAGGGTGTTTTTTTTACAAGTGTCCTTCAAATATTAACAAAAAAGAAGACAGAGCAAACATTGGTATATCCAAATGGATGGACTATGGCAAGCATTTCAGGATATATTACTTTGTCTGTAATATTGAAGTTTACATTAGACCAAACCACCTGTTTGTCCATTCAATAAAAATTTATAGAGAACTACCTAGACAATGCACAACATTGTTGCAGAATACAAAGATAAAGATACAGGCCATACCTTTCAATACTGTCTGAAGAAAACAGAAATAAAGAAGCTAAGAGAGAGGAGAGATAAGCATAGCAATTTAGACTAGTTCACATTCAGGACGTGTTATACTCACAAACTGACACTGAATTAAAACTCTCTTGTACAATTATATTTGTATTTTTTTAATGTTAAAAGAAAAAATACCAATCCTGGCATGGGAAAGTGAAGTTTATAAAGTTGTTTGAGTGGAATGTGAACACTTGCTGCTCAGCATAGAAAGGTTAGGGAAGGAAGAGAAATTGTTCATGACCTTTGGACATTGAACCTTGCATAAGAATGTAAAAACAAAAATTTAAAAAAAACTCTGTGTGACCAGAGAACTTGAGAGAAAAATACCAAATGGATACTGTGTAGTTATATGTTTTACAGGTGAAAGTATAAAAGCCTCTTCCAAACTATTTTCAGTTTAAGTGATGAGCAAAGGCTGAAAGGACAGATATTATATAAATCTTGAACTTATATTCAAGATTTAAGCTAAAGCAGATGCCCCAACGTTGAAGCAATGTGTGTCCATAAATAAATGAGTGAATGGATATGCAAAATATGGTTTGTACATGCAGTAGAATACTGTTCAGTCTTTTTTTGTTTTTTTGCTTGGTTGTGGGGCTTAGACTCCCGGCCTAGGCACTGTCCCTTAGATCTTTTTGCCCAAGGCTAGCTTTCTACCATGTGAGCCACAGCTGCACTTCCAGCTTTTTGGTGGTTAATCAGAGATAAAGTCTCATGGACTTTCCCTATGGGCTGGCTTTGAACCATGATCCTCATATCTCAACCTTCTGAGTAGCTAGGATTGCCGGCATGAGCCACCAACACCCAGTTTATAGAGTTTTTAAACTTAAGAAAATTCTAACATGTGCTTCAATATGAATGACCCTTGAGCACATTATATTAAATATGTGAAATAAGGGTCCTCTAGAACATGTAAAATTTGTTTTATGTTACACAAACACAAGTACTGTATGTTTCCACTTACAAGAGATATTTAGGACAGTTAAAATTAAAAAGACAAAAAGAATGGTGGTTACATGTGGATGAAGTGTAAGAGGCATGATCATGACAAGTTATTGTTTAATGGGTATAAAATTGCAGTTCTATGAGAACTGTTACATAGATAGTGATGACAGTTAACTGATGACATAGTCATATAATACTATTAAATTAGAAACTTTGAAATGACTAATGTTAATATTTTTATGTTATTTTTCTTTTGAAATAATTATACATTGTATAATTCAATCATATAATGTGTATTAAAATATAATACACAATTTAGGTGGTCAGAAATTCCAGAACAGTCTCTATACATGATCATAATTCCTCCAAACTGTCATTCTACATCAACTGTAGATTTTTCAATCTAGCTGAATGTATGAAACCACCTCTCCAAAGGATTGGAAAAACATGTGCTGACATTAAAATTTTTGGAAATGAGTAGTGTCTGTTAAGAGTAAAAGCAAAGATGAAACAGAAAGGTCTAGTAGACAGCAGCAATTCTGAAACCACTCCACACATATTCTAGAAATGGAAATTTAAGTAAATGTCTGGCACACAGTAGAAATCAGATTCCTGCCTTTCAGAATGAGAGGTTACAATCAAGATGAGAAGACTAGAATAATATTT